TTTAAATTTTTTCCCCCCCCCCCCTGGAAAATTTATCCGTTTTTTTTCCCCCCCCCCCCCCTGGAAAGTTTTCTGCGGGCGCCCATGGAAGAGACTTCTACTTCTACCGATAAACATCAGCTTCAACAAAAGATAAAGAAAGTTTATATTCTTGCTTGAATATAAGACACAATTTACTGTGCTGCGGTCTTCATAGAAGGGTCCATCATACGCGCACTGCACATTCTGCAAGTCGGACTTTTCAGTAGCAACCCCAGAGACAAAAAGAGTGGTGTGGATTTAGGAGATAGTGTCTAGATTTTTAAATATATACAATCAACTCCGCCACCTACATTTTCGTAATGTCAGTTTACGATATTCCTCGGGGGGATATTCCTCGGCAGAAAGTCCATGCGTTATTTAAAAATGCTACACTATTCATCCAGAAACTCTGAAAGTCCTAAAATAGCACATTTAGATCTCGAATGCTGTAAAATACCAGACAATGTTTGCGGGAATTACCGTCGTGATGTTGCCAAGATGTATTTTCACAAATGAACTGGCTAGCTATACCTAAACTCAGTTTTAGAGAAATTACAGTAATGTTTAGTACACCGAATGGTGGTAAGGCCACGTGTTACGTATAATTCGGTGGGCTACGCCAGTGGTTCTAAAATTTTCGTTTCCCTGCGCCTATGCCACACTACGTTTTCACCAGGCTCCCTGTGTCGCATTCTAACATGTACAATTCGAATACACAAATAAAATAAGGGTTGGATAAAAATAAATATAACGTGTACGTAAGTCACTGAGCGCCATCTGGAACTGCAAACAGCAATTGCTTAGTGGGTTACTGTTTGCACCACGACCGAAAGTTGTCACATTGGTTTAAAAGTGAAAATAAAATAATGAATTTTTAAAAATATTTCGCAATGCCCCGATGAGGAAGCCGCAGCCACCCCCTTGCCCGAGGGCAACGAGCACCCGGGGCGATGCGGCGTTTATTCTGGGAACCATTGGGCTGGCCGAATCACCAGTGGTGAAAACCCGTGTCAGATTTTATTGACTGTAACATCGTAATATGCAATGGATTTTGCTAAGTTTATGGGGGGTGGCGGGGGGGGGGGGGCTGGGCTGGTCTTTTAAAGCTCACTGTACCGTACACACAAAAAAGGCCCGGGGGGGGGCTGGACTGGCGTTTTAAAGCTTACTGTACTGTACACACAAAATGGCGGGGGTTGGGGGGTCCCAATTTGTTACCGGGTAATTCATTCTTATTTTAATACATTTTATTTTATGCTCATCTGACGCCAAGTTTAAACAACGTTAAATTTCACGGTGACTTTATTTTTACCTGTGACTTACTGGGATAATGTGATCAGCACGTTAACCCAAATATTAATTAATATGTATTAGCCGATACACGTCTGCAAAACAGAGGGACCGCAGTTTCGCAGTTTACCGTTAACGTCAGTCATCTACTGTTAACCTTCAGTTCCATATTTTGACGCCAGTTTAACTCGATTCCACTGAACACGCTATAGGAGTAGTTATTGTATACATTATATATACCGTATTTTTATTTATTTACTATCAAAATACTGCATTGTACGATTTTGAGACGATATACGATTTTAGGAGTTTGGAGTTAAACAGGTCTGTTTGAGCCCTTTCTAATAAAGATCTGGCGGCGAATAGACCGAGAAAAACGATTGAATGTAATTTTTTTTTTTTTTTTTTTTTTTTGTTGGAACCATCTTTCGTTATATTATATACGCCCTGAGAGGGGAGGTTGGGGGGGGGGGTTGTTGAATA